ATATGTGCTCGAAGTGCAAACTGAAGAGAAGCCTACACTGTAAGTAAACAAAGCATTTAAATACACAAATTGGTATGAATAACTTTATATTGGGCTATAAATGTTCGCATATGTACATATTTATGTACATATGTATAAACGCATGACTATCAGTACCTGGAATGCATTCCTGTATGCATCTACATATGTATTTACTTTCTATATGCCAATATTTTCGAATCGTTGGAATTCAACTCCACTACGTTGTACATATGTATGTACATATGTACATAGTGTATATGAATACATTATTGTAAACTCATGTATGTATGTATATACATAAGATTGCAAGCATAAACATCCATCAAAAAGATTGACATAGACAAATACTCAGTGACATAGTCCACCTTAAATATTTACCATTAGACACTGATAAGACAAAACTACATATTTTCACATTATTCATGCTTACCGCTACTTTTTCTAATTACTTTACAGCGCCATTATAGGCTATTGCATTTGCTTCTACTCCTACTCAACATGGCAGGGTAAAACATACTTTCTTGAAGATGTTTATGTGCGTCCCGCATATCGTGGCTTAGGTGCTGGTGCTTACATTTTCCGTGCTGTTGCAGCTAAAGCGAAGGAATACAATTGTCAACGTTTGGATTTTCATGTGCTCAGCTGGAATCCGGCGCGAAAATTTTATGACAGAATGGGAGCTATCGATTTAACAGAGACTGAGGAATGGCATTTTTATCGTGTAAATGCTGAGCAAATTGAAAAGTTGGCCAATGAGCTGTAAAACTATTTAAGCAAAACAATTAAAACAACAAAAATGCTGTGCATATGCATACAAACGTTTGTATATATTTGCATTTTTTTTTAATGATGCAAATGTGTATACATACATGTGTATATACATTTAAAAAATTTTGGAACAACCAATTTTATTTTGAATAAAATAGCTTTAATTACAATCTTTTAACTAAAATTAAAATCCATTAAATACTATATATTCTTACCCAAAGTTGTAAATACACTAACCAGATTATTTTCAGAAATGGAAAACAAACCAAAAACTAAGCATTTAAGCCGGGGAGTATTTTTCGGAATTTTTATAGACTTTCTGAGTCTTATTCAAATGCATTCTAGCATTTAAGAGCACAAAACAAAAAACTTGAATAAATGTGATGCAAAAATATTCAGTAAAATATTAGAAAAAGAATTTGGATAGTACTTTTCCACCTTAGAGTAATAATGTAGTACATCAGTTCTACAGTCAGCATATTTAGCAAAAATGCATCAATGCAATGAGTCAGTAGTATCATTTTCTTATAGATTTTAATAAACAAACTTTTTTGTTTATGAATACGAACACTTTTTCTTTCAAAAAATTGCAACAATAATACTTTCACCGATTGCCTTCGAAAATGTAGAATATCTTGAGTAATTAGTAGATATTGTATATATATAAATTCTTACTTCTACTGTTCGCCATTGCTGCTGGCTATAACATGTATCTGCATACTCTTTGTGCTATTGTAAACTTGCCCTTGTGGAAACGGATGTACTTTGGAATGTGTGTCGGTTTTGTTTTTGCCACCAGCCGTGTAACGTGACAGACGTATATTGGGCATAGGGAGAAATCCAGTACTCAACGGCATAACATCCAATGAAATTGAATGACTCTCGACATCCTTCATTGATACAACACCTAAAATGACAAAAGAAGGAGAGGTGAAGCTTTGACTTTTCGATTGCCTAGAAGCTATAAATAAGGTAAACAGCTAATTTAAGATAAGCGTTATTTTACATAAATTCCTTTTTACTAATTTACTTACCACAGACTTTTCGTAAAAGTTCAATTAAAATAAAGAGAGATTATTACGAAAGTGTAAAAATATGAAACACTTTGTGTATATACATAAATAAAAATATGAAATTGTAAAAAATAGGGATTCCATGTTCGCCTTTAATCTGGCAGTAATATGCAGAATAAAGCGAAAATATTGAATTCCTAGTATATCAATGACTGTCTGTTGTAATAATTTTTTTGACAATTTTATGGAGAAATAAGGTCTAATATGCTTATAAATATAGTATATAGTTATTTAGTTGCAGAATATTTTCCGATTTAAAAGACTTGCTATAAATTTATTATTTATTATTGCCGAGATTAAAAAAAAATTGAAACTACTTTTGCTTCCACTAAAATCCCTTATTTTTACTAAACTTTCTAATGAGCACAAAGAAAGTGTCTGCACTCAAAAATGCATGTATAACCAACCTGCCGAGCGTCCACAAACGGCCCATAAATTCTGATCGCTCAGCACTTCGTACATTAGGTCCACGTAGGGATTTTCATGCACCTTCGTGATTTTCAAATTCAAATTGCAAACTGAACGCAAACGACATAGTTCATTGGGTTCAAGCTGTGTCTGCACTTTGAAGAGCGTTGTATAGTCCACCAAATCGAAAGCGCATCCATAATTTCGCAAAAGTTGTGGCTTCTCCACAGTTGAGTATTTTGTCATAAAGTGCACTTTGATTACCGCTGGCAGCTCGACCTCTGCTTTTAGCGGCTCTACTTGTATTTCATACAAGTACGAAACCGTTAGACCTTTGTAAATTTGCTGCATGGAAAAAGTGATACAATTTTAAATAAATCGTTATATATAATTATGTTTTCTTCCCCCACATACCACATGCGCCTGTGACGGTGGATTCAAATCTATTAAACGCACACCTGCAACATCGCATTTCACCTTCGCCTCTGTCAAAAATAAATTCGCTTCCAAGCCTTTCATAACCACATGCAAAAACTTTTGCGTACCACAAGTGTGTAGTCGGCATTGTGCCTCCAGTGCGGGCTGAAAATCAATAGCTATCTGCAACTCATTGCGTGACCAAGGGCATGATAATGTAACATAGTGTTCCAAGTGTTTGGAAATCTTACGTCCAGGCAAATCCGTCAACACTTCTAACGGGATTTCACGCTCCTCGAAAGATTTGAAATTTGGCAGAGGCACCTGCAATATGCTATCGAATGTGGAATCATCTTCAGGATTGGCAACAGTTTTTGTGTCTTTGACGGTTTTCTTCTGTACAATGTCATTATCGTTGGACGCCGGAATTTTTGGCTCCTCTACTTGTTCGTTATCCTGCTCTACAGCCAGCTTGTCTATTGAGCGCGCCATCCGTATGCGCAAATTTTTCGAACATTTCAATACAATTTTTGCATCGGCTGGGAAAATAAAACTACCGCCAGAAACTGTCAAACGTATTGGCTGTTCAATGCCTGCAATCAAATTCTTGAAATTTAACACTGCCGCAGCCGGCTTGGTAGTGATCACAAATGGTGGCGCTCTGAAGGGAATTTGCTCAGAGAAGAACTCCAATTGTGATATGGAAATACGCATCTGCATTCAAAATAGAAATTTACATTCACATCCTTTAGTTCATTAAATATTTAAGTTATAGTCTTACCTGCTTGAAATCCCAAGTACCAACTCGCGTTGCCTTGGATTTTAATTCAATGAAATTATTGCCCGGCTGTATAGCGATATTCTCAGTAGCTACGAAATTTGTGAAATCTGACTGCACGCTAGGCGAAAGCTTGCGTTTGGTGCTACTCGTGCGGCGCACTGGCTGCTTCGCTTTGGGCACGTCGCATTCAACTGAGGCGCAATCCAGGGTATTGTCCTGTTTGTAGTCCAACCGCAGTGACATTTTCAGGCGCGATTCCTTGAGTGGCGATGATGTCGGTGTGCTGAGGAATTTCTTATCTTTGCAGCCACTAACCGACACAATCAACGGTGGCGTTGCTACCTCGCCCGTAAGTGGTGAGACATGCATTTCGTAGCATAATTGTATGCTTTCAGCAACAACTTCGCGGGGATAGAAGCTCTCCAGCTTTAATTGCACTATTACAATATCATCTTGTATTATGGGTTCCACATTCATTACATTTATGTCGCATATTCGAAAATGATCTTCAAGCACGCAAAAATTCGCATTCTCCATGGACGGTTGTGCGGATAGTGTGGTTGTTAATGTCTTAACCGATTTCAGAAATTCATCGAAATAAAATGAACGCACCAACATTTCCAACTCTTGACAACACGAAATTGAGCTACATGTCTTGGTGTAAGCCAACGAATCGCCCATTTTGCGATAGCAATTGGCCAGTTCCAGCAGTGTTTGTGAACTTAGCGCATGCCAATTCTCCGCCTTTAATTCGCGTAACAAATCAGTAAAGAAACCTACGGCCTTATGCGGTTCATTCAGAGCGCAGTAAAAATTGCCCAAATCCAAGCCAACCAGACGCGCCGAACGGTGACGGGAAACGTGTTTGTACGTACTAATGGCTAGTTCTGCCAATTCCAAATAAAGTTTTTGGAATGCTTGATTTGAGCCCAAAGCTTCCTTCAATTGTTCGGTTGCTGATTTTTTCGGTCGCCGATTTGGAGAGCGGTCCCGTTTTTGCTCTGAAATCTGAGGTGTAGGGTTCAAGAATTGCGACTGCTCGAGTGGCGTATCACCAATGCCAGCGGAGAGTTGCACGACTATATGCAACTGCTCGGAAGTGGGCGTAAAGCCGGGAAGCAGGCCACATAGCTTTCCCAATTCATACAACTTGTCTTTGGCCAGATTCCAGATGGGGGCACAATGTTGAAAGCAAACCATTTCGTTTGGCTCCATAGCCTGCTCGCAAGTCTGTAGAACTTCTAGCGCGCAAACGAATTCCCAGCAAGATAATGCACCCTCGGGTGTGTCTAATTTTACGAGTTCAATTTCTCGCAATGTAGAAAAAAGAAAATTTAAAAGCCTTCTGGCTATTTCTGGGGTTTCATTGCTTTGTTGCAGCAGATGTGCTTGTCGTTCAAATAAGTAATTGCGAAATTCCAGTATTGAAACAGGGCTTTCTTTGATTTTTTTGCGTATCTCAAATTTGTCACGTCTATTGAGGCAAATACCATGGAAAAAGCTTAATGGTTGCTTGAAGTATTCCAGCCATTTTTGCTTTTCGCCAAAGCCAGAATTAGTTATGAATTGTGAAAACATAGCGTCCAACTCGTCATATTGTATGAGGGCTTCAGTGTGTAATTCTAGTTTCTCGAATATCAAAGCTAGATCTTCTTGCATAAAGAAGTATTGCCGAAAGTCCCAACCATCATGGTTGCGCTTTTCGCGCCTGCTCCGCATAAGCTCTTCGTATTTGGCAATGTTACGGTTGAAACTGGCAAGCATTAAGAACCTACGAATGTGAATGTGTTAGCGAAAGAAAATCATAAGGCCCTGAAGCATAAACCTGATGCGCTGCACTAAACAACGAAACGACTCAGCCGATTTCTGTTCGAACTTTGCTGGATTCAAAACTGATATACAACGGTCATCATTTTTTGTAGCAAAGTCCTGTCGTATCTTATCTAAAACTGTGGTGCGTGGCAGCAAATTTTTTGCTTTTCGAACGTCCAATGTCTCGACCAACAAAATCATCCAATCAGTTATACCATAAGTTGTCAGTTGTCGAAGCCAGTTTTTTATTTCTTCCTGCGCGTTTGCCTTATATGTATCCAAGTCCTGAGTAGTTTATAAATATATGAAATATATATTTCAAAAATTACTGTTTATATACATATGCATATTTACATTGCACTCTGTAACGAAAATATGCAGAATGGGATGCTCCAATATACTCCATTCTCCCTTTTTGTACTTCTCCAGCGCAGTCACATTGAATGGCTGGGTTTGCGCTTCCAAACGCACTTGTTTGGATGGGCGATGGTATGTACGACGCCATTCGCATGTATCCAGTGGAATAGCATTCAAAATTTGTGCCTCCAGTGATCGAAAAAGTGGTCCAGCTCCAGCATCTGGGGAGTGAAATTTGGCTGTATTTAAAACCAAGATTTTTCAAAGTTTCTTCACTCACATGTTATTATTGGTTTAATATTCATATTTAGATAAAAATTACGACTTTTACGTTTATTTATCGGAAAATTAGTTTTTCTCGTCCAACAAAATTTATAAACGCAGACGAAAACTCCTGCCACCGCAATCAGTTGTGTTTGACAATCGAGAAGTAAATAAATAAACAGAGAGTCCAATTGGATATTGCTTACCAGAGTTTATCAACTTTTCAAAATAAACCAGGGTATTTCACCCCGATTGCAATACGTGACCGTATGGGCTCTGTCACACGGTCAGTAATTATCACGATTTTTGGATCGCGATTTGGATTGATCGATCGCGCACGAATGCTACATGTTCAATATTTATCGCGTCAGTATTTGCATAACTTTTGTGCAAAATATTTTTATTTTGTACGTATAATATATAGATAATGCATTCCGCAATTATTTTAAAATTTCCAATGTTAATTAAAAATTTTTCAATTTGTTTTGAAAGGTTTCAACCAAAGAACGTACGTTCTTTGGGCAGATTTATCACGAAATTTCTGGCAACACTAGGGTGTCCCTCCACTTTGCACGTTGTCTAACACTGTCCAGTAATCAATCCATTTGCAAAATGTCAACAAATGCACCCACAAGTGTCAAAAACGAGTCCCACTCATAAGCATTGTGGAAGAATACAAGTGAGATATCTTAGGGTTGACAGATAGTTGACAGGGTGTTCAATATGGCGATGACAGTGTGAACAATATGGCAGCCAATATGGCATACAACACCGAATGGCCCGAAGTAGCCAAACTACGACCCGAATGAAACGCTTCGTGAAATTCCAGGGTTGCGAAGTGGTATTTTGTTGGAAAATATAAAAGCCAGGATTTTGTGCAGCGCCGAATTTTAACAAAAGAGGGTTTTGTGTTCTCAAGATGAACAGAAAAGGGTTGCTGTGCTGTTTCGTTTTAAGCTTATTTTAATCTTAAGGTATCTAATTAAATATTAAAAGGAGACAAAAATTAAAGCAAAAATTTAAAATATATGTACATATCTGAAAATTGTAAATAAAATATATATTTCCACGAGAGACAAATAAAATAAAATGGGTTAACTTTAGGGGAAATATACTTATCAGATTGGGTCAGATAGCGCTTTTACGTTATAACTAAAAATAATTCCTACTTAAATTTTATATAATTTTGGTAACGTATTTCTAAGCTGACCCTGAGATCTGTGAAATAATACATATTTATGTGCATATATTGTGTTGATTATGCTCTAAATCGCTAAATAATTCTTGCAGCAATCAGCACCATTGGAAAGTGAAGTGACAATAGGCTGGTTTTCTTTATACAGCCCGTTTTAAATTCGTATTATTGTTATAATAAATTACAATTATTGTTTGTTTCCATTTCGGTCAACAGCGCAAATTATTTATTAAAAAAATGTCGTTTAAAAATAGCAATTTTGTTTACTTTTGAATAAGACTTTATCGAGTGCGCTATAAAGACAGGGGGATAAATGCTGTAAAGAAATATATGTTGAGTCCAATCGGTTTTTTGCTAATCCGGTTTTTGTGTAGGTATAAACAAGGTATATTAAAAAAATAAATCTCCATAAAAAAATATCGTTATTTTCGTATTTAAAATTAATCGGAATTTTATGGGGGGTTATAAAAACTCGTTTTAATTGAAACTTTGTTTTTTTCGGCTATATTTGTTGTTATTTATTGGCCCAGATGCAAATATTGAATGAACTAACATATTTTAAATATTTACGGAACTACCATTTGTATACAATCCTGTATTCAAGTAGATGTAATTCGAAAAATTTAAACGGATTTCTTTAAATCCACCTGAGCTGCGGACATATTGCGAATTCATTTTAAAACATTAACCACTACATTTTATTAGTATTAAATACTTTCAATTAAGAAACAATTATTATTAGAAAATAAATATGAATCGGTTTATTTTAAATATTCCAATGTATATTTTTTGTTAATGCAGATAGTGCGGATTTAACGTATTTTATAACCGTTACATGGGGAAAAGAAATTTTAGGCAGATTGTTATTGACAATTTTTACATAATTTACGATTGCAATCAATTTCTTTCAAAACTATAATCTAAATGATTGCAAGTTGTATTTTTTACGATCAAAACAGATTCCAATATTAGGTATATTATGCACATGCAATCCAATTTGATTTGAGTTATTCAGTTTTAGATACATTTATATTTCTGTGTTCGTATGGAATAGTAGTTTATGTCGGGAAGCTGGCTTTAGTATAATCCGGCAATCCGTTTATTATTTACAACACAAGGAATTTTTTGATGACCCTTAACAAGAATATGGACGTGCTAGTATCGGAACTATTTCTTGCACGTTTATTTATCCAAAATTTCTTCAACGGCTCAGCGCCAGTGAGGGTATGCTGCGAATGCCGCATTATACTAAAACCAGCCTTTTGACATAAGCTACTATTCCATATGAGTGGGACACGTGCGAAATGCGGATTTTCCCAGTTGCAGTACTGCAGTAACTCGACACCTTCCTCACCAACCGCTCTGTCCTCTAGGAGCTTCTTAATGTAACTGCAAATAAAAGATGGAAATTTAAGAAAAAATACTATTACAGCGTTTCACTCTTGTAGTATATTGGCTATCAAGCACCAGAAAATTTCCATCACGCATTCCATATGCCACCGATTGTCGTGGATCAATTAAAATACTGTCATCACAGCTTTTTGGTACTCCAGCAACTGGTGTGTCTATGGCGGAGTAATGTGGAGCTGTTGCATGACTAAAATCAATTTGGGCTCTTTGAGAACTGGCTTGTTTGTTGCGAGCTATTGGCATCAAATGTATGCAAATTAGATTTCCAAACGGGCAACTGTTGAATACAGGAAAAAATGTATTTTATATGGATCCACTAAAGTGCACTACTACCGTGTATAAATTGGCCAACCTTCTAATAAATCAAGCAATCTTATTGTATAGTCATCGCCGCCTGTCACCAAGAAATTTCCACTTGGGTGAAATGCAACATCATTCTCCGGCGACGAATGCACTGTATTAGCTCGCCTTCAGCTTTGTCAAATATCTTAACGCGGTTACAACTTAATGCTAAAGCCACCAGATTGACGTCTGGATGCCATGCCAGCTGTCGTCCCATACCTCTTCCCCCGGTGAACGTTCGCATACATACGCCTGAAAATGTATCGCAAATTCTTAACTTGTCGCCGCACGATGAAATGAACTTACCATTAGGGCTGAATTTTGCTGCGCGCACCCATTTGTGTGTATTTTGAATCAGTATTTTGATGGCTGTTCGCCATTTTTCTAGTCTGCAAACGAATAAGCTGACGAAGAAGCAAACAAATTCAAGCACATTGTTGCATTCTACCGTACATATTAAAATCTTAAAACATATGTGAAAAACTTTTATAATCTGAATATTTCTAATGTCGCAATCAAAACCAAATTTTATAAATAGCATTTTTAAAAAGCAATAATCTAATATTTTTCAAGTTTTTGGGCATATATGTTACCATTTGAGCAAAAAAACCTACCAAGTTTTAAGAGACTATTTAATGCAACTCAGGTCAAAAAAGCGCACTTTAGAGCAAAATAAGCAACTCTAAAAAACAGATGATCGCAGCTGTGGCCCAGGATGACGTCTATTGCTAAGATATCTCACTTGTATTTGTACACAATGCTCATAAGCGAGAAGAGTGAAATTACGGTTTTGATAAAAAATTCGATCAATGAATTAGTGAAATTTAAATAATAGCTTTAGAAGTCTTCGAGCTAACGAGTGCTTTTACATAGAAAGTGATGGAAAGTCTTTTCGGTCGCGGCCATGATGGATACGTGGGTCGCGAAGAACATATTGTAAGCAACCTCTTCCCCTTACCCTCTTCTAACACGGTGTTATTTATTTTATCTTGATTTTTATCTTGCATATTTTATCGCTCCAGAAAAAATTGCAAGCAAACAACTCCGAAGATGACAATCTAGATGAACTCCCACCAATGATGGAAGAGCTATGTGTTGCAGACGGTCTGCGACCTAGTCCTGGCGGTCCCTTTTCCGCTTTAACACCTTCCATGTGGCCGCAGGAAATTCTAGCGAAATTGGGGCAACCTGAATCTGAGGCTGCGGGTCCTAACGATCAGCCAGACTATCGATTCGACGAATTTGGTTTTCGTGTGGAGGAAGAGGATGGTCCAGAACAAAGCTCGAATAAACTGCTTTCGCAACCATTTGTAGAAGATGCACAGCACCGATTGCAATGGATTGCACATTTAGAATTTTCACATAACAAAGAGGCTACGGAATTGACATGGGAGAATGTGGATGTTATGCTGCCACGTACCGAAAAGTTGCGAAATATGGTTCGTGAAGGTATACCACATTCTCTGCGGGCACAAATGTGGATGCGTTTATCTGGTGCGCTGGCGAAAAAACAAAAAGGCGAAACAAGTTATCATGATATAATTAAGGGTATGAGTATTTTCTTTAATTAGGAAAAGTTAGTATTGATGCATTTCTGTTTTAAATTAGCTTCAGGGAATGATCAACTTATGACCTCAAAACAGATTGAGAAGGATCTGTTACGCATATTACCAACAAATGCGTGCTTTAGCAATCCGCACGGAACTGGCATACCACGACTGCGTCGCATACTTCGCGGCATCGCCTGGCTGTTTCCAGATATCGGTTATTGCCAAGGTACTGGTGTAATAGCCGCTTGCTTGCTGCTGTTTATGGAGGAAGAAAATGCTTTCTGGATGATGGCGACTATTGTGGAAGACTTATTACCCGCATCATACTATTCTTCAACTTTGTTGGGCATACAAGCTGATCAACGTGTCATGCAGACGCTTATTGCAAATTATCTAACATCCGTTGATGAGACACTAAAGAAGCATGACATCGAATTATCGCTTATAACATTGCATTGGTTCTTGACGCTTTTTGCAAATGTTGTGCACATGAAGATTTTGGTGCGCATATGGGATTGGTTTTTTCTATGATGGTAGCATAGTACTCTTTCAACTCACATTGGGTATGCTGAAGTTGAAGGAAAAAGATTTACAAATCTTGGAAAACTCTGCTCAAATATTCAACTCATTGTCAGACATACCGGGTGAAGTGGATGATGTAGAGGTAAGTGATGCGAGGCCAAACGCTGTTATATAAATGACTAAAATTAAGTATGTTTACAGATTCTCTTTAATCAAGCACTTGAAGTTGGTGGCTCCTTGAGTCAAACCGTCATCGATACGCATCGTCGACGTCATCTGGCCTATCTTATGGCCGATCAGGGTGGCCTTGTTGGTAATCCCGAGGCCGTCCCAAATCTGCCCAAACAACATTTGGCACGTCGGCAAGTGCGAAAAAAGTAAATCCATATTAGAAACATTGCTATTTCGAGGAGACAACGATTCCGTTGAGCTAAAAAATAAGAATATAAGGCAGACGGAGATTCTAGTCGACTTGCGTGAGGCAATATTAAAAGTAGCACGCCACTTTATAACCATCGAACCGAAGATAGCAGCTCACATACAACTGACAGCAAATTACAGCACTGATTCGCATGCAAAAGACCATGAAAATTTCATCAATGTCGCACGTCGACGCCAACGAAGAGCAAAGGCCTTACATGATTTCGAACGTCATGATGATGATGAGTTGGGCTTCCGCAAAAATGATATCATCACTATAATAAGTCAAAAAGATGAACACTGTTGGGTGGGAGAACTGAATGGATTGCGTGGCTGGTTTCCGGCCAAATTTGTCGAGTTGTTGGATGAACGTAGCAAGCTGTACACTTCTGCTGGTGACGATGCAATTTCCGAAACTGTTACAGATTTAGTGCGTGGCACACTTGCGCCATCCATCAAGGCTTTTCTCGAGCATGGTATGAAAAGACCATCTTTTTTGGGGGGTCCCATGCATCCGTGGCTTTTCATCGAGGAGGCGGCTACGCGTGAAGTTGAAAAAGATTTCGAATCGGTATACAGTCGATTGGTGCTATGTAAGACGTATCGCCTAGATGAAGATGGCAAAGTGTTGACTCCAGAAGAGCTGTTGTTCCGTTGCGTGCAAGCAGTAAACCAGTCTCATGATGAAGCGCACGCGCAAATGGACGTGAAGTTGCGTTCATTAATATGTCTTGGCTTGAATGAGCAAGTGTTGCATCTATGGTTGGAAGTACTGTGTTCTTGTCAGGATGTTGTGCAAAAATGGTACTATCCCTGTAGTTATATTGACTCGCCGGGTTGGGTGCAAATAAAGTGTGAGCTAAGGATACTTTCACAATTTGCTTTCAATTTGAATCCTGACTGGGAATTACCACCAAAAAGAGGCAAGGAATCTCAGCCACTGAAAGATGGTGTGCGCGACATGCTGGTTAAGCATCATCTCTTCTCATGGGATTTGTGAGTCTTGTAGTAGTAGCATATGGAGAAGAAAGTGCATTTGTTTATTTTTAGTTAAGTATGTGTGTAGAAGATTGTATAGCCACTAAACTATGTTTTAAGAGTAAAAATGTGTTTTTGTTAAGTTTTAATGTTTTAGTTTAAACATTCCCTTAATGGCGGTGGTAAAAGATTGAACTCTGCCGCATTTAGTTGTTTAGCCACAGGTTGAACAAATTTTTAATAATTTTAATTAAAAATATCGAAATTCTTAGCTATGCAAATGCTTATACAATACAAACCTTTGGCAACTACTTACATACATGCTATATACAAGCAAAATTATGCAAATAAACTGAAAAATAGGTGAAGTTCTTCAAACTATCTTACTAACATTTTAAAATGTGTATGCTTTCAAATCTAGCCTTTGCAACTAAAAACAGGCCCTGTAAGTTTTAAACAAACCTCATACAAAAAATTGTATGTTAAAAAATATTTAAATGTTTTATAAAATCAGAGTCTGTATTTAATAATGCTATTATAAATATAGATATATCAACTATCGTCCATTGCAATGTGTATTTAAATAAATACTTGAGTTTATGCTCAACATATTTACACACGCTTGTATGAATGTAAAACGCGTATATCGTTAATTTCGAATTGCATATTAGTCATTGTTTTTAAACATTCATATTTTACTTATGTATGTTGTTCCTTAAAAATAAAAAAAATAAAATATGTATATTTAACGCATAGAAAAAATATGTTTATATAAACGGCAATTTTCGTGTTTAAATTCAATTAGAATTAAATGTATTTCTTTCTCATATACATATGTATATCTACATAAATATTACATATATTCTAACATAGACATGTGTGTGAGTGCGTTTAAAAATGCATCAAGCCAAAGCAAAGCACAACAACAACAACCAATCTCTTATTTCTAAATTATAATTAATGGAAATGTCTTATTTACGCAACCATGTTACATTCGGCTTTTAACCGTGGTTGCGCATGTTTGACATTTCCATCAATTATAGTTTAGAAATAAAAGAGACTGATTGTTGTTGTTGTAGCGACTGTAACTGATGCTTTGGCTTGATGCATTTCTGAACGCAACCTATGCATACATATGTATATTTATAAAAAACGAGTCGCAAATTATTTAGTACCACATCCAAGCATCTACATCAAATTAACTGCATACTAAACCTAGGTAATCGTCCATCAGTGTGCCGATTGCGAACTATGAGCATAGAAGATATATATAAGAAAAGGTTTAACTATATAGTTAATTTACACTTACAATACCAGTGGCATCCACACGTGTACCGACAATCTTTAAGCGTATTTTATCTTCACCAGAAATTACGACATCCTCATCTTTTGATTTGTAGCACGGTGGATTGCCGTTTGGACAGAATTGCATGTCAGCTGGTATAGACTAAGTGGAAAAGAGTCCATAACATTAATATGTGCATCAGAAAAATGCATTTGTATTTTAAGTTGTGTACATACGTGATGTGAAATGAAACACGATAGTGGCCCAATTTCAGCAAACATGCCTACCTGCATTTGAAAGAAAACGTATCGTACTTTTTCAACATGTGTGTTTTTTTACCCAACGTACTTTGTTAATTTGCTTTACAACTGCATCCAGCACTTCTCCCTTGAACGGCCGGAATACAATCGCCTTATATTTTACTGGATACACTACAAATCCCTGTCCGGGCTGTATGACACCTGAGCCAATTTGATCGATTGTGGTCACCGCTATCACAAATCCATACTTCCCCGTGCATGTACCTTCTACTTCTGTATAAAGTTTCTGTTTAACCGTCTCCAGCAATTGTGGACCGAAATAACGCGGATGCAAGAGAATCTCATGCTCGAGGGAGATCTACCCATTAGAAAAATGCCATCTCAGATAAAGTAGGTGAATTTCTCAGAACTTTACTTACGTGGTAAAACATTATAAATTGCTGGTATATTTAATGAACAAAAAAGCACAAATGGTATTTTAAAAGCAAAAGTGCAAAATATCAGCGCAAAATTGTTTATTAAATCAGAGAAAATTGTAAACAGCAGCGGCATTAATTTCACTATAGTCAATTGTCAAAGATGACAGCAGTAGAAGGTGGTCAGCAGGGTTGCATTATGGGAACAAAAAATAAGGTCAAAATTAAAGAAAGTTTTCAAATCAGTGTTGGCAAAATGTTAATCTGATTAAGGTTTAAAAATTACCGATTAAAATGTTTATCGCGATTAACGACTAAAATTAATTAACCGTAATAATCTGTACGATTATTGAATACATTTTTTTAATCGTTAATCGTCGGTTGTGATTAAGATTAATTAATTTTAATCATTAATCCATAATCCAATTAAAAAGAAATTCTGATTGAGTAGTCTAGTTTGTTGTCCCAATTTGAAACCAGACAAGAGTTATAGTGATTCTTTTGTGTTTCACGCTTATAAAATATACAAAATATTTAAAATAAAAGATTGTGTTGTTTATTGGCCGTTTAGTATAATTTAATTTAATGCGCAGAACATTTAATGTTTTATTTAACATACGGCCTATAGCTCAAAAATAAATTATTAAATAAAAAAAATTTTATTTTTATTAGTAATACATAAACAGGGAATTTTTACAACCCATCGCACATGAGCAGAAGGATATTAAAACCTGGTTTACATAACGTCTGTTGGAATAGATTTTAATGAAAATGCACACAAAATTGCTTAAGATTGATGAGGAAAACCGACTTAGCCACCCTCGATTAACTGGTCTTGTGTGCGCAGGAAAATTCCAGCGTAAATTAATTAATCACCAAAACTACTTAATCAAATTAAGGGTTAATGATTAAACATTAATTTTTTTTAATCGCGGTTACGATAAGCTGTTTAACCAGATTAAAATTAAATATGATTAACTGTAATCGGATTGAATTTAATCGAATTAACTAATTGATTACAGAATCAATCGATCACTGCCAACACTGATTCAAATATAAAATTGGAACAAATGCAGAATACCTACAATTCTCAAACAAACAAAAAATCATATGGGGATCGATAGAGATCATTGAGATGAGCATAGCGGTATATTTTTTTGTTTGGAAACAACAACTACAACAGTTATTAAAGGTCAAAGTTCAAGTTATCATGGATTTTAATGTCATTCAATAGAGAATTTAATTCTCTTTAATCTGATATATGTACATATCGAGCCCTAATCGCCAAAATAACGTAAGCGACATTTTTTTCAAAATTTTCTTTTTGATGCAGAAATGTATCTAGATGCTCTAGGAATATTTCTGCATCAAAAAGAAAATTTTGAAAAAAATGTCGATTACGTTATTTTGGCGGTTAGGGCTCGATATGTTATAGTTTTCACAAAAATCGAATTAATGTGGGAAAAAGGTAAAAAGTGTTTTCGTGTATAACTTCTTTCGGCGTAGGTGGCCTTCGGCCGCACTTATGGATTGTAAAAGCCTGATTACGCCAACTTAACTTAACTTAACGGACCGTAGAACTTAGAGAATCAAAATGAAATAGATTTCGACGTGGCATTAAGTTACTTTAAGTTTCGGCTGTTCAATTATAAGCAACACCTATTTAACAATATGCTTAAGAGAGATCCGTAAGTTACGTTAAGTTGCCATAGTCAGACCTTTCTGTATTGCCAGAAAAAGAGGCCGAAGTATTTATGCGCAGAACTTCTTTTTGAGTAGTAGAATTCTCCTTTCTGTGTTGCGACGAAAAGGGGCTGAACAATTTTCTGCGTAGGCGGCTTCGGCTGCACTTATGGATTATAGCCCTCACAAAGTACAATTCTCTTTCTGTGTTGCGAAGAAAAGGCACTGAACATCTTTAACGCTGAACTACAGGTTCAGTTATGTCAATATGTGGCCCTGGCGACTGAAGACAGCGGAGGAGAAGGAGGGCGGTGAGGAATGCAGTACGATGAGAATCCGCCTGCTCAAGCAACATGAGACTACTGAGTCGACACCTCCAGCCCAACTACCAAACGGAAAATAGTCCTTCCGTGCTTGACGGACATAAACCTGGAGAAGGTCGCGGTCAAAGTCGCTAGCGAAGTGAAGTATCTGGGACTTATCCTCGACATAAAACTTCTGTGGAAGAAATATGTGGACGCGATCACCTCCAAGGCCACAAAAGCTTTAACGGTGTGCAAGCGTCTAGCGGGAAAGTCCTGGGGATGGACTCACAGGATCATAAGATGGCTCAACATCATGAAAGTATAGCCAATGATTACCTAGGGGCGGTACCTTCGATTTCAAGAACTACTCTAACGACAGCGAGATAAACGCTCACCAAGCTACAACGGCTAGCATGTGTATGCATAACGGGAGTGATGCGCACATATCCGACGATGACGCTGGAAGTAGTCCTTGGGCTTGAGCCTCTTCTTATAACCATAGAGCAGGCAGCCAAAATACCTCTGCTTAATATTGCCAGAGAGAGAGATTTGGAAAAGGTAAGGTCATTTCCTCTAGGAGTGTTGAGAAGCAAGGGGCCTCGCTCCCACTAGCCCTGCTCCCTAGAGATGACATAGGCGAAACCATAGTTTTGTTTTAGAAGATATTCAAAATAGGGCTTTGCAACAAAGCAACCTGGAGTGTCTCCGCGTTCGAGAGACACAGATGGCTCGAAGACCCCAGAAGGAATAGGTGCTGGAATCGTCAGACCCAGAACCAGGACTTCTGTTCCTATGGGGAAATGTCGAGCATCTTTCAATCAGATGTTTCCTATGTGCGGATATAATCATGAGTAGAGGGTATAGAAACGAGAGAATCATAATGCTAAGTGATAGCCAGGCGGCACTCAAGGCCTCATGTTCTATGAGGTCAAATCGTCGCGGGTCCTTGGGTGAATTGAGACACAATAGCATCAAGTTAGCGTGGCCACCTGTCCACAAGAGAGTGGCGGGTAACGAGGCGGCTGACTGTCTCGCAAAAGAGGCGGCAGTCATTAGTCCAGTTGGCCCCGAACCCTTCCTAGGAGTGGACCCCAACACTCTAAAGGAAGAGCTTAGGAGGGAGAGGAACATCATGAGGGATCTAAACTGACAGAGTTCGTCAGGAATGCGTCAGGCAAAGAGTTTACTGCGAGGGTATAACAAAAGGAGATGCCATAGTTTTAATTGATCGCCGAAAAGAGAAGCTTAGATTAAGGCAGGCTGAGAGGACAGCTATACAAGCTGGGGATATGGTCAATCGACCTTTGCCGGTTTTGCGACTCAACCATCGAGACGTGAGAGAAGTTAGGCTCAATGTGGCCACAGTTTAAGCACATTCACTCCCTATTCCCAAAGGTAGAGTGGAACTTTCTCAGGAATTTAGATTAAGCGGATGTATTGTGAAGAGTGGAGGGCACAATAGATTAATAGATTCCGGTGCAAATGTCATTTTATTATCTATATATCCATCTATGAAACCAAGTTTTTTTAAAAGCTGGGTTTTATATGGAAAAATGTTGTCGGTTTTCCAGGTTGGCGATTTTAAGCGCATTTTTCAATTTGAAGTTTGCAGTGGCAGAGCAGCATTTAAAAAAATAAAAATAGTTTAAATGTAAATATTTACGTCATCAAAGGCCGCCCTAGGGGTTCTGATTTCCGAGGAATCTGAATTTCTAATTTATAAAGAAAGAAGTGTAAACAATGTTTCTCAACAATGTTTCTAAATATTTTGGCACCAGTTAGATGATTCGTTCGATCCAAGGCTGATATTATAGTGATCCTCTATGTATTAGTAAATGAATTCCTTAATGTTTTCAAAAATATATCTTTCAACAGTGATCCTCCCAATAAGCGGGGGCCCTTCGGTGGTAGGAGGTACTTTGATTTTTGCTCGATTACCGTTAGACAAATTTTTCTTAAAATTTGTGTAAGTCATGACGAGGCCTTTGATGCTTAAGCGCCCGCCTAAAGTAACCCAAGCAGCTTACGAACTCCTCAGCAGCTGAAACAGCATTTTTGGTCATATACGAAGATGCTTACAATCAGGTGTTGCACTAAGCTTAAACAGAACTCAACGTAAAATACTTAGCGTGGCTGTCTAAATTAAACAAGGCACTTGTAAAGCATAATTCTTTTCATATTTTCTTACTTTCAAACAGATTTCACATGCTGCCGAATGTGTAAACACAAATATTAATATTTTAGGTACATCTGTTTGCTTTGAGGTACAATATTTTCCACACATTAGATACAATCTGAAAATTTAATTTTCCATCTCTGGTGCGCACAATTTCAAGTTTACTAAACACGTTTTTTAAACTTTACTCATCAATGTAAATAAGGAAAAAAGTATGTATAAGTTGTAGGAAACTTGCCGCTGAGCTGAGCTGCTATTGAGATTTGAGAAATACAAACATATACACAAACATATGTACATTCATACAAGATATTTGAAGCTGAGATAGTGATTTTTTTCAAACTTGCAAAACATACGCAAAGAATTGAAATCAGTTTGATTTTAGCCGCTGAATCGTGGAGTGTGTCTTGGGAGCATTTGTGACTTTTATTCAATAAGGAGATAATTAATACAGAAATTTTAAATAATATACATCCAAGGTACATACATACCTACTGATAATACAGGTTCGAAGCTTACCACACGATTTTAATAAGTAAAATTTGATGTGAACTTACATATATTTATTGTATAAATAAATGAAAATATATTCTTGCTTAGTATAAGTATTGAATGTGTAACTTAATGCTTGAAAAATAATTTTTATTTACATGTGTTGTGGAAAATTATAACAATTATTTATAGTTACTCGTAAAATTATAGTTTGTGCATGTAAACAATAGATAATACCGAGTACCTATAATTAACTGCAATAATGTATAACTACCCAGCAAACACAGTTCCAAACGTTTGAGAAACTTTTATATCTCAATTTGATATCGAATGTTTTTCTCAAATGATTATCAAATTAAAAACATTTCCAATTCATTTGAAATTGTTTAGAAGAAACATGGCAAGTGTCAAACGATATAAAAGTGCGCAGTTAAACAAAAAATATTTAGTAAAATTAAATTCAATTGAAAAAAACACAAAGAATAAAAAAAATATTCAAAGAGAAAGCCCACAAATATGTAGTGGATTTGATGTTTGCGTGGATTGAGAA